AGCAGCAGCAGTAGCAGAGCAGATGGCTTTGGCTGTTCAGTGGCAGCAGCAGCAGCAGATGGGTCCGGTGGTGGCAGCCGGCAGCAGCAGCAGAGCAGATGGCTTTGGCTGAACAGCAGCAGCAGCAGATGGGTCCGGTGGTGGCAGCAGCATATGGTCCGGCAGCAACAGCAGATGACTCCGGTGGCAGCAGCAGCAGCAGCAACAGCAGGGAAACTGAAGGTGAGATGGACGTGAGAGATGTGTGAAGCTGCAGTTAAAGAGATTGAGTGATGGGAATTAAAATAAATTAGGGTTAGGGTTAGGGGAATGGGTTGGGTTGGGTTGGGTTGGGAGTTGGGTTGGGTTGGATAGTATTGGGTTAAATTTAATTGTAATTGGATTAAATTTGGGTTTGGGTTTAAAGAATAAATTAATTTTAAAATAAAAACTTTATTTTTTTTCGGGGATGGGGATCCCCGCAGGGCTCCACGGGATAGGGAAAATTCCCCACGAAATTTCGTGGGGAGAAAATGATCCCCGTCCCCGCCCCGCGGGGAGGAATATTCCTCCCCACCCCATCCCCGTGACGAGGATCCCCGCGGGGCCCCGTGGGGAACGGGGAGAATTGCCATCCCTAAATTCACAGCCATGACTTCTACCTAGCTCCATCTATTGCTATTCTGTTCACCGCTGTTATTTCACCCCTTTCGTCCCAAGATGTTTTTCTTGATTAAACAATTATCTTTTAATTATTAACCTACCTCAATATATCGTGTGACTCTAAAATTTAGCTTGAAGGTATGAGCTTGAAATTGTAATAGTTAATTTTTTTGGTCTTTTAATATTTTAAAAATATATAAATTATAATTAATATATTTAATATTTATTTTAATTGATATTTTATATATTTTTAAAATAATTAAAAAATTAAAAATTAAAACAATAAAAATCATTATCAAACGAAATCTAACTTAATATTTCTTACTTCATTTAAAAGAGATATTATCATGGCCATCATTTCTTATCCTCACTTATTGCATTTCATGTGATTTGTTGATTGTTGTGCACCCAAGACAAAGTCGAGGGTTCGTGGCAACAAATGACAGGAGGAGGAGCCAATTTGATTTTAATACCATATGAAGGGAAGTTAAGGCCTCGTTTGGAGATGTTCCGACTGCGCCATAGTTGAAAAAATGCTAAATTAGAATAAAAAAGCTTTCGCTAAGAATCATCAGGGATCACAACCTGACACAAAGACAAAGAAAAGGGCTGAATCACGCACCGGATACAATTAATGAATTGTGTAGCATTCAATTTATATATTAAGCCATATAAAATGGTGTAATTAATGCCCTACTTATCTATAAGACCACGGAAAACTTATTAATAATATATACCGCTTAACATATGGTTGTAGTTTAACCGACAATTCTATTATCCAAATTAACCGTTTTAATAATGATTTAGTTGAACTCTTATATTAAAGTTGTTTATATTTAATGAATTTTTTTATTTGTATTTTGAAAACACATGTTAAAAATATATTTATTATATATTTTTTATATTAACTTATATAAAAAAACTATAAAAATTAATATGAATTTTAATATTATTGTCATTAACTCGAATGAATTAATATTAATGTTTTAAACTTTTAACGGATAGGCAACTTAGCTAAACTCTTATTTTAAAATTGTCGGCAACTCAAGAAGATAGAGGTAAGGTTGTGTTTTTTTTTTTTTTTTTCACATATAGTGGTGAGTTCTTAGCAAAATTTGAGTATTAGTTTTTCTTTTTATTTTGACTCGCATAATTGAGACGAGCTTCTCTTGTTTTTTCTAACATATTCCATTTGTATGTTATAAAATTA